GATGATACGAAGTGAAAATGATGACGTAATAACTATATAACTGGTCTATTATAAAAGCCAGAGTAAGCTATATTTTTGGCTGATACGATGATACGAAGTGAAAATGATGACGTAATAACTATATAACTGATCTATTATAAAAGCCAGGGTAAGCTATATTTTTGGCTGATACGATGATACGATGATACGAAGTGAAAATGATGACGTAATAACTATATAACTGGTCTATTATAAAAGCCAGAGTAAGCTATATTTTTGGCTGATACGATGATACGAAGTGAAAATGATGACGTAATAACTATATAACTGATCTATTATAAAAGCCAGGGTAAGCTATATTTTTGGCTGATACGATGATACGATGATACGAAGTGAAAATGATGACGTAATAACTATATAACTGGTCTATTATAAAAGCCAGAGTAAGCTATATTTTTGGCTGATACGATGATACGAAGTGAAAATGATGACGTAATAACTATATAACTGATCTATTATAAAAGCCAGGGTAAGCTATATTTTTGGCTGATACGATGATACGATGATACGAAGTGAAAATGATGACGTAATAACTATATAACTGGTCTATTATAAAAGCCAGAGTAAGCTATATTTTTGGCTGATACGATGATACGAAGTGAAAATGATGACGTAATAACTATATAACTGATCTATTATAAAAGCCAGGGTAAGCTATATTTTTGGCTGATACGATGATACGATGATACGAAGTGAAAAAGATTACGTAATAACTCATAACTGCGCTATTATAAAAGCCTGGGTAAACTATTTTTTTGCGTGCCAACCAAAAATACACATACTAATGAAATTGATAAATATATATTTGTGAATAATTAGATATGGCCCACGGGTTTTCAAAGAACGAGACAGAGAGATATACATGTCTAAAATGGTATGACATATACATGTCTGAAATGATATATACATGCCTAAAAATCCAATTGAGGACTATAAGTATACATTTGTGTATATACTGACACGTGCTGCTTTCAAAGCACGTGGCAAACACATATACTGTATACATGCTATAAAACTAATTCACAATTGATAAATATGTATGGATTTACAGTAGCTATACGTTTGCTTTTTAACCCATAAGAGTGTGGAATGGACGAAGGCTTGTCATTGTACGAAATTGTAAAATGTTATATTTAAATGTTTACTGGGATCGGTTAACTTGGTTTTCCGTGAGAATACGTTGGTTAGCTAGCAACTGCCTTATGTGCTTCGAAATAGCGTTGTGATACGGGCGCTGAAACTTTTCTTGGTAAACTTGGTATGAAACGAACGCATCAGCAGACCAAGGCTGGAAGGAGGTTGGGTGGTTTTTTTGAAACACAGTTGTTGGTTTTGGTGCTTTGGCAACCCTGGGGACGACAGTTCTGCCGTAGACATGGCACAATTGTTGCATAGCTGTGTCGAATTCAGCAGGCGTTACGGTTCTGAGAGCTGATGGGGAGGCAGACTGCTTGAACGCTCGGTAAGTCAAAACTGGACCAGGGAAAGACAGAATACCAGATTTGATGCGGTACTGGCTTGGTTGCTCTTTGACCTTTTCACAAGCCTCCTGGGTAATGGACTGTATAAACTAAGAACGTAAAGTGGAAAAACATTATTGAAGTTTACAATCCGGCTCATACTATAATCGGCTTGGGAAACTTTAAATATGTGTCTGACTTTTAATGTACGTTAATGGATTGCGGGTTATTTACGAGAACGAGGAATCCATGCATATATGATTTTGACAGCGGTATATATATGAATCATAAAATATCGCGAGTTTGTTTAAGTCTTAATCTACAGGACTATAGTTATCAATCAATATAGTTATCTATAGTTATCAATTGAGGGTTATTTACGAGAACGAGGAATCCATATATGTTTCAGTTTCAGACAGCGGTGTCAATCCTAGGAATACGCTTTGATAATATTGTGAGTTTTCTTGCGTGTAAACGCACATTGTAGTATTTGCTCGGATATGAAATGTTAGTAAACTTATAGTTCCATGTAATGACGCCTCAAGTACTAGAGGCAAATGTTTAGAAATGAAATGAACTGTGTTAAAAGCGAGGGGCGCTCAAAACTCGGAAGGACGGCTGAAAAAATTAAAGGAAGGACGGCTGAAAAAGCGTATGAGTGAACGCGGACATTAATTGATATTTAGACGCGTTTTGTTTTAACGAAAGAAGTGTATGGCGTTTAGTTTATTGTTTTTATATTATTAAAATAAGAAGTATACGTACGCTGTTTACGTAGAATCATGTTCGTATCATCGAATAACGCAAAAATATAGCTTACCCAGGCTTTTATAATAGCGCGGTAGTATAGTTATCACGTAATCATTTTCACTTCGTATCATCGTATCACGCAAAAATATAGCTTACTCAGGCTTTTAGGTATTTCCTACGGCCTCCCTAAAACAGCCTGCCCCGCAGGCTAAGGCTTTTATAATAGCGCGGTTATATAGTTATTACGTAATCATTTCCACTTCGTATCATCGTATCATGATAACAAGTGATACCTTCAAAAGTGGACGGGTATTCTGCAATTTAGCCGAAGATATTTATGGTTTTATCAACTGTTGGGAGAGATATTACTTTATATTTTGATAAATCGGCATGTTTATTGTAGGATACAGGAAGTAAAAGAGAAAATTGTAAACAGTTTCACGAATCTATTATGTCCCGGTCACACTTACACCAATAACCACCCTTAAAAGCAACCCTAGCTTTTAAGAGACAATCTCCACTATTAAAAACCGAGCAAAATCGAGAATACGTGGCACATGAGGAAAAATGAAAAATCTTCTTATTTTTTTCAGTGATACTTTAATGTGTACTCAGAAAGGTGGTGGCGAAATTAGCAAAAAAAATTGTGAGCAACGGCCTCTCGAAAATTTCGTTTTTCTCAATCAGCGTGTCATGAAACCTTACCTTTTGTTTTTAAACGTGTTTATAAGATGTTTATAAAGAACGTTCGTCCAATTTGCAATTTTTGAAATGATTTTTCAATGTCAAAACAAGCGTGTAAAAATCGTCTTTTTTTGCGATCCAAAAAATTCTAAATTGTTACACTTTTTGAAAATTAATTTTCTGTTTCCGGGAAAACTCCAATTTCCTTGAAATTTAGGGAATTTAAAGATAAACTGTTGTTCTAAAAGCTGATGTAAAAAAATATTTTGGGGCTTTTTGTTACCGCGGAATTACACTGACTATAATTATATCGAGAAAATCACAAGAAAAACCTTAAAAATCCTCAGACAATTGGGCACCTTGCTTCAACTTTAGACAGTCGAAACTTAATAATTTTTGCTTGTCTTCTTTTGTTGTTTATAGGAAATATAAGACGTTGATCATTTTAAACTAGTCTGCCTATTTCTAGATAAAAATACGCAGTTAAACTCTCCAAGATCTTGTTTCAATTGATCGATCCATGCGCGCCAATTAAAATAATTAAAACTAGCAACACTTGTACACTCGCTAGAGTCAAGGCTATATATACTTACTATAAACAGTCAATTACTTATATTTGAGCATGCTATGCTCTAGCAGTTCAGTTTAAGCGTCAAACTTCGGCCATATGTTCATTGAGGTCGAGCAAGTTCAGTCGTTTAATTAAAGTAGTCTATGACCTGTATATGAGTTTGTATGCGTTTCATTTACCACAGGTAATCTCAACTGTTTTAGGGTAAAAATTTAATGACCATGGCGGTCAACATGGCATATGTGCCAAAACCTGAATCCGGGACGAAAGTCCTGAAAATGACCCCGCCCTGAAACGGCAGTGCCGACAAAGCTCCAACTTCCGAAAAGCAAATGCGACAACCATTCTGAAGTGCTTATAGTGTTTGGAAGGGTTGCTTTTAGGGGTGGTTATTGGAAGGAAAAATTTGTGTAAGTATAATATTTTACAAGAAAATGACCATTCATCACCCCAGGTAAATTGCTAATTATGCAGAAAATAACTAGTTTACATGGCAGAAATTAAATATCCTTATTTCCTAAAAAAAGTTATCATGCATGGGATGAAAAACTATGCTTAATTTAATATAATTATTGTAGTTTTCATAAGGATAGTCACTGTTTTCTATAAATATAATATATTTTATTTCACTCACCCCTCACGAAAACACGATTTCAGCCATATTTTGCTTTATATCGCTGTGTCTCGCAAATAACATCCAGTTGTTGTACTTTTACATGATGGCAAATGGCTACAGAAGATTTCAACCAAATTTCGGCAAGTTTTGGAGCAGTGCAGTGTATTGTATCTTCGATATTGTGTCCTTCGATATTTCGTCCATATGCCGCCATTTTAATGACTCGCCGATTCTCTGCCCGATAAATGACACTTCTTCGTATTCATATGTATTTAGATTACAGTATCCAAGAGTACTTTATTGTAGAATAGTCCTAAACGAAAAATTGAAAAAATTACTTGCACTGGGAAGGAAAAAACCTCTCACAACAAATTCAGTATAGGAATAAAAACAAATCATTTGAAAGTCACGCGCAATCTTCGCGAAAATTCCTCGACAGGGGGGCGAATATTTTCACGAAATGTTGTTCGCCACCACAGCAATTCAAGTTTCAACTAAATGTATTGTATTTATTGTATTTTATGATTTAACAATAAAAATTAAAAACAATAAATATTTACCTATTTTTATTATCAATCATAAAAATGCAATAAATATAATATATCCAGAGATCCAGTTAGGTCGCTGTGGCGAACAACGTTTCGTAAAAATATTCGCCCCCCCCCCTGTCAAGTAGCCACGAGGAATTTTCACGGAGATTGCGCGTGACTTTCAAATGATTTCTTTTTATTCCTATCCTGAATTTGTTGTGGGAGGTTTTTTCCTTCCCAGTGCAAGTAATTTTTTCAATTTTTCTTTTAGGACTATTCTACACATATATATGAAGACGAAGAAGTGGCATTTATCGGGCAGAGAATCGGCGAGTCATTAAAATGGCGGCATATGGACGAAATATCGAAGGACACAATATCGAAGATAAAATACACTGCACTGCTCCAAAACTTGCCGAAATTTGGTTGAAATCTTCTTTAGCCATTTGCCATTATGTAAAAGTACAACAACTGGATGTTATTTGCGAGACACAGTGATATAAAGCAAACAAGACGGCAAAATATGGCTGAAATCGTGTTTTCGTGGGGGGTAAGTGAAATAAAATATATTATATTTATAGAAAACAGTGACTATCCTTATGAAAACTACAATAATTATATTAAATTAAGCATAGTTTTTCATCCCTTGGTAATTTTTTTTAGGAAATAAGGATATTTAATTTCTGTATTATTATAATTAGTTATTTTCTGCATAATCAGCAATTTACCTGGGGGTGATGAATGGCCATTTTCTTGTAAAATATTATACTTACACAAATTTTTCCTTCCGATAACCACCCCTAAAAGCAACCCTTCTAAACACTATAAGCACTTCAGAAAGGCTGTCGCTTTTTCTTTTCGGAAGTTAGAGCTATGTCGACACAGCCGTTTCAGGGCGGGGTCATTTTCAGGACTTTCGTCCCGGATTCAGGTTTTGGCACATATGCCATGTTGACCGCCATGGTCATTTTACCCTAAAACAGTTGAGATTACCTGTGGTAAATGAAACGCATACAAACTCATATACAGGTCCTAGACTAAAAGGACAGGGCCGTTCCTAGCGCGATAATTGGGGAAGTATATTCATATATTCGTCTTCTGCCCGACGGATTTTTTTTGAAAACTATTGTTTTTATGGTAGCGAGCATGAATATATGAATATACCCCCACCTCCCCATTATCGCGTCTAGGAACGGCCCTGTAAAGGGAAATAGCATGAATATAGAAATTAGATTCCCTTATCTGAAAGAACTTGACCTGGAAAACATTTTAAAGCTTTTTGAAAATCTCGCTTATTTCTTGACCTTAAGAAAAGCTTCTGTTGTGATGGAGCTAAACTGTTGAACTCATTACCTAAATACAATTAACACTTATGATTTGGGTTTGTGTAATTAGTCCATTTTAAATGTTTTACAACCAGTTTGAAAGCTTCCAAACGCGGCAAAACAATTAGTTTTGCTCTGAAAACTTAAAAATTTCGCCTGTGTCTATCTATATGTATACTGAAAGTTTCGCTTGAGGAACTAAAAGTCTATGCGAGCAGAGGCGTAGGAAGCTTCTAAAAGTTGGGGGGGCAGGCCTTGAGGGGCACTTTCTGAAGAAAAAAGGGCGTCTAAAATTTTTTTCCCGGAAAAGTTGGCGACGAGGGGGGAGGCCTCAAAAATTTTTCCGGACATACCAAAATAATTTTCCGGATATATCACATTTTTTCCTAAATAAGAAAAACTTTTTTTCCGATTTACCAAAAAATTTTCCGGATATCATATTTTTCCCGGAAATGAAAAAAATTTTCCGGAAAATAACGTAAATTCAAGTTTTCAAAAGTGCCCTGGCCAAAAAAAGGCAAGCCTTAAGACATTTTTCACGCAAGAAAAAGGCACTTTGCTGCCGGAAAAAGGGCACCTGGCAAAACGTGGGGGGGGGCTGCCCCCCAGGTTCCTACGCCCCTGGATGCGAGGTTTGATATTTGAAAGTATACGTTTTTTAATATACATTAGAATTTAAAATATACAAACATGGGCGATGATCAGAGGCGATAATACAAAAGTTGCGTTTCGCTCTCATGAGAAATTTGATTATAAAAGGCTGTTTATACTGTCCCGCTTACCCGGGATTCAACGAAGTGTAACGTATTTTGATCGAGCAATTGAAATACGTGTTTCAGCCCTAAACAACAGTTAGATAACTTTAAACACTTTTTAAACGAAATTAGGAGTGCGCTAGAAGTTATGTAGTGGAAGAAGACGATTAATATAGCATTCAACAATATTTGTTTTTTTGTTTAAGACATGGAATTTCATACATATTTGTAACGAGCAATTTTGTTATATCATGAAGTGCGACTAATAATTTTATCCCCGATCCGACGGCGCGAAGCGCCGTGCGAGGGTACTAATTCCCCCCGGCTATTTACACCCGGGGAAACGAGAGCATTAGCGGAGTCTAAAGTTCATTAAATATCGCGGGCGTAGGTCACCAACGGTGTTGGGTGGGTGGTCATCCTCACTGATCTCAAAAATATGGCGAACTGTCACGAATAGCGGACACTGATTGGTCCAATTTAAAGTTTGCATTATAACGACTGCATGACGACAGCGAAATAGCAAACATTTCTTGAGTTGATTTGATGATTGATAAATTTCTTGCAAATATATTTCATTTTTGCTTGCATTTTTGCAAGATTTTGTAAATTTCAAAAGCTCTCTGAGAAAGGAACTGCGAAAGAATCGGCTAAAAGAAGGGAGCCGACGTTAACGAAGGTAAGTTTGTTTTAAATATTGATTTTATAATGGTTTAAAACCCGACGGCCTTTGCGTATATGAAACAACTAAACAAGACAGCATATAATTTCAGTGTATCTTTAAATTTATTGATTCCCTTTTTTATGTTATTGAATTTTTTAAATAAATAAGAAAGCAAAGTTATTTGCAAGCGAGAATTTTAAATCATTTTATTGCAAACTCAAAGTTTATCGATAAAGCCATTGTAAAAGGCAGTTTAGTTTTATATTAAAGAACACTAATGACTTTAAAACGTTTTGCGAAGCGTTTGTGGTTGAATTTTACCTTAAATCGAGGCTTATATTACGTATAATAACGTACCTAACATATATATGTTGGGAAATTAATAATTTTGTGATTAAAAGTGATATTTATAGGCGATTTTTCATTTGTAAGAATATTCTTAAAAAATTATCGTGTTACCATGACAACTTCATGTTCGGAAAATACAATGGTTTTGTCTGCAAGGCGAGTGTTTCTGCATGCATGTATTTTCTAGTTTAAATTGCTCAAAATATGTCACGTCACATTTTATTAAATCCCGGGACGCGGGGAAGCGGGACCATGGACTTGGGACTTGGCATGGCGGCGACAGAGTTCTGAAATTGCTCAGAACTTCAACTTTACGATACTCCCTATAGGGTATGACATCGTGTTTACATGTCTAATATGTTGGATAAGTTGCAGGAAAGTATGGGTAATATCTTCATTTTTTTGCAGTTTGTCATGGATAATGTAGCTACTTAAAATTAATCAATTGTCAGTATTTTAAGGGTATATTATTTAAATGATAAATAAAGCTAGGCCTGCACATGATTTTGAAAAAAGAATAATTATTAGCAAATTAGTTTCTTACAGTAAAAGAGCAAGTCGCTTACATGCAGTGATTGTGCTTATAACAAAGTAAATTCAGCGCATGTTTTATACACCAGGGGCCGGTTGTACGAAAGGCGTTTAGCTTAAACAGCGCATGTTTAGCCGCTAACCAGCGTATAAATTTGTTATCCAGCGGATAGTTAAACGGCCAATAAAATTGCGTTGTACGAAGCCCGTTTAGTACCGCGTTTAACTATCCGTAGGATAACCTTTAATTTAACCGGAGAAAACTGGACTTTCCTGAAATTTCTTACCTCTACGTAAGCTGTTGCTATAGGCATTTGTGAACTTTAGAAGCTTTATCTAACTTGTGAATTCCACTAAGTTTTTGCAAAGTTTGTTGTTGTTTATATTTGGAGTTTTCTCGTCCGTTCGTTGCAATTCTATATCAAACTTTTCATTTTCACATTGTGCTGAGTTTCTTTAAAGATTTTTGACTTCTTTATCCGAAGAGTCGAAGGCAATAGCAAAAACTGTGAGTTGTGTTTGGCTTTTGTCAGTTGATTCAGTTTTATACTGTTTGAAGTTTGTTATTTTGTTCCTCGACCTTGCACTTTTGTTCAAAACAATTTTAAGAACTTTTGTCCCAAGTTTTGATTGGCTGATCAAAGCGATTAACGCAAGCGAACAAAATTTTTCGACTTTCGGCGTCTTGTCACAGAATAGATACCAGGGCGCTTATATATCGGGCGGCGAAACGCGCTGTCAAAGCGCTGATCGATGTGTGATGCGGCAGAGGACTGGCGCGAGCGTGTGTTTTGAACGAATTTGGGAAGGAGCGTGATTTTGTAGTTTTGTCTTAGTGCGGCTTTTACTCCGGTTTTATGAGAAGTTTCAAGGGTTTTTGAACCGACACTTTCGAAGCAATGTTTCCTTTAACGTCTAAAGCCCTGATCAAACGAGAACGCAAGTCATCGCAAGTTACTTGCCCTGAATTGCGATGGGACCGATCAAACGATACGGAAGTTATCGCAACAATTTACAATATTTGGCCCGTGTGCCGGGTAATTTTGTAATTTTGCAAAATTGTATGGCCGTCATTTAAACCCATTTAAAACGAATGCAAAACTTTTGAAAATGCCATGTAAAATGAAGCGAAAGCTGCCAACAACACTGTGTTATTTTCTCTACTTGCATGAAACGTCGAAAAACAAGAGAATGGATTAAGCGAAGATCAGAAAAAGGTCATTTTTATAACATCTTAAGAGAGCAGAGGACTAGGGAGTATGGTTTCCTTTGATTTCTATGGAAACTGGTCTCAAAAAACTTGTCTGAACTTGCAATTCCCGATCAAACGTATCGCAAGTGCTCGCAAGTTTAAAAAAGCTTGCGATGAAGTTTGAACCAGCTCAAATCATTCGCAAGTCATCGCAAGTTAACGCAAGTCAACGCAAGTTGGTGGTCAAACGAGGCGCAAGCAAGTGCAACTTAAAACTTGCGATGACTTGCGTTCTCGTTTGATCAGGGCTTAAGAGCTTTTTGTGTTCGCCGGACTCTTCTTACGTTTGTTTTATTGTGGATAAACGTCGTCAAAAGTAGGGGTATGAGGAGACAAGAAGTTCAACAAGGAAATATGACAAGTCAACTTGCTGCCCCACGTAATAGTATTTCAGGTATGTTGAGCTTATTATTGTCTGTTCGTATATGGAGATACTCGTAGAAATCGGAGTTGATGTTTTTTAGCTGCTTTGCTCTGAATTCATGCACTATTTTCGCTATATTTTTTCATCTTTGGATTAAAAGATTAAAATGGCTACCGTCAACATTTATCAAGTGTTTATGAAAATATCAATCAGTTTTCAACAATTTCTGAACTGTGTAAAGGTAACAAAAAAATTGTAAACGTTTTGCATGCACATTTAATATTTTGACAAAATCAATTCCTTCATTTAAACTGACGCGCGTTCAGTGTGAAAAAGCTTTCCCGACCTAGCAAATTTGTACACTTCAAGTCGAGAGGAATGTCTTTCATTATCTGCTAATCTATTTCGAATTCTAGTTGATGGATTTCTTCAAATTAGTTTTTAACATTCATTGTCTAAAATTCGAAGACGAAGGAGAATGTATCGAACGTAGCTTGTAGAATGACTAAAAAAATGGCGAGCAAAATGACGATTACGCTATCACGTCATTTTTATATGGGCGAGCAAAACAAATGCAGTTTTGAAATTTTACAATTAATTTATTTTTGTAAACACTTCGTTAAAATGTGCGATACGTCGAGGAAGTGCTGCTTGTCGTCCTCCCAAAAAGAGAACAAAGGAATTTGATATTTCAAGCGCAGCTGATGTTAATTGTTCAGGCGATGAGGTTTTGTTAGACGACAACGAAAGAAATCCACCTGTAGCTGACTTTGAAAGTCTGTACAAAAGTGCAGAACCTACTCCCTAGCGTACAATGGTAAAATTCCATTGCAGCCTAAAGAACTTCTTCTTTATTCCTTACTGGATGTGTCATTGTCGTCAAAAAGTATTAACTCTGTCAAGGGCTATACTGCAGAAAAATTTCTTGATGTAGCAAGAGCTGTATATGTTGTCTGTGGTGTCCGATTTGATTGTGTCGCTATACAAAACTATTTCTATCGAGCTATGAACAATTGACTAAGGGTCTGGGGAAATATAAAGGACGGTTGAGATGGAACTTTTACTCGGACTGCATAACACAAATTTCAATAAAACATCGACCCCTTCTACATTATTTTCTAACCTCGGGATTGTGTAACCAACAAAATTATCATGAACTAGAGCAAGATCTTGAAAATCAATGTTTGAAATGTTTACATGAGAGTAAATTATCTCAAACCCTTGCCTACAAAGTTACCAAATGTCTTGACAGCTTTGCTGGTAAATTTCCAAAATGGAAAGTTCTTGCTAACATGCATGAAGGGAATGTAAATCTTTATTACATGGGAACTAGCCCAGTTATTGTTGAATATGAAGTCATCATAACTGCAGAAGGTGACTGGAAGTACATTTTAATGGGAAATCCAAGAATTGTAGATGTTGACCCTACCCTTTTACCACCTCAGATTCATGAGATAAGTCAATTGTTTACGCTAATGAAATCTCTTGAAAACATGAAGGTTTGCCCTGGTGTCCCAAGTGAAAATTACCAATCTGTGTTACCTGAAAATGCCAGCGTGCCAGTTTTTAAGACACATGATGGACAACCTGGGGCGTTTGTTGAATATCACTCTATTGATAAACAGTGTATTATTAGATCTACCAAATGCAAAATACTAGTTCATGGTGGTAATGTTTGTTGCAAAGCATGTTCTGAAGCAAATCATTACATGAGAACACTGAAGTCTCGGCAAAAGCAATCAGCTAGCAGAACAGCTTCTAAGCACAAAAGGTTTGACTATATGTCTAAAGATGAACTGATTGAACATAGCCGGGAAACTGCAAAGAAGTTCCATTCAATGCAAACTCAAATGAAACGTCTCGAGCAATATCAAGAAGATATGAGCACAGTTGGTTGCCAAACTGACTCAGAATTCAGGAAGCTATTTAATGATTTGTATGATATCATTAGTAAAAAGGTTGAAAAATGTAACAACAATACATGCTATTGGGATTATTGTGATAGGAGTGATGCATTTTCTTCCAAGGAATTGTTACTAAAAC